TGGGTAATTCTGAATATCAGCCTGCAGAAAATTTCTGTATAGAAATTATAACAAGTTTAGGTTAATTTAAAAAATCAATTCAAACTTAAAAAACATTTTGTTCTGCTTATGAAATTCAACCTTAAACCATGAGAAAAATCAAGATCAATTGGCCTTCAGATGTCTTCATAGTTTGGGGCAGGCAGAGAAGAGTGTGACTAATACAAGGCAGAAGTAGAGACTTTCCCTGTACTGCCAGAGACTGCCTGCTAACAGGCAGTCTGACCACAAAGCATTGTACCATTCATTTGACAATTCATCATTTATTTTCTGGATGTTTCTCTTTTTAAAAAATTTTACATAAAATATTGTCATCTAATTGTCTTTTCACCCCTCTACAGGCTGGACAATATTCTATAATTTTCAGTCTCCTACAGCCTGTCATATTGTTTGACTTTTTTTTCCTTTGTTGTGAAAGAGCAATGCTCGGTGTTCTTTTGACAATTTTTTTTGCCATCGGAATTGTCAAAGTAAGTACTGTTCTTATGCCATCTGTTTAAAAGTTCTTAGCTTTTCCAAATACAGGCAGTATCTAAATTGTAAATGGGACTTTTCCAAAAGTTATTTTGTATACTGGTTTTTGGAACTCTGTAAAAATAATATACATATCGGCTATGTTCCCAGATCAAACTACACAAGAGCTATTCAGCCCATCACTTATATGAAGTAAGATGATCCCCTGAACTACCACAAAACCAGATGTTCCTGTATAACATAGTTGCCATGGGGAAGTACAGATAAGCAGATGTATATGTCCCATACCCCCATCCCCAAGACTGCCCACCTTCCCTGCTGTTGTGTGTGCAGGAAGACTCTTCGCTTCATTTCCCTAGGTTTCCAGTTGTGATTCCGGATCTAGGCCCTCCCAGAATAGGCTGTGCAGCAAAGGAGAGATGAATTCTTGGGTTCCAAATCAATGACAGAGGATTGATGAAATCTGAGGTGACAGAGGCAACAGTCCCATTATGGGGGCCTCCCTGGGACTTCCAAGTGTTGTGATGAGGAGTGCCTGCAAGATGTCATGTGTTTCTTTTTGTCCCTTTCCTTGCTCCTTTGTTGCTGCTGAAAAGAAGGGAAGGCAGAAGATCAGCTTTGGATTTTTTTTTTTTCTGAAGCAGGGTCTCACTCTGTTACCCAAGCTGGAGTGTAGTGCCGTGATCACATCTCACTGCAACCTCAAACTCCTGGGCTCAAGGAGTTCTCCTGCTTCAGCCTCCTTGTAATTATTATTTTTTTTTTTTGGGAGAAATGCAATCCCACTATGTTTCCCAGGCTGGTATTGAACTCCTGGGCTCAAGTAATCCTCCCACCTCAGCCTCCCAAGGTGCTGGAATTACAGGCTTACTTCACTGCACATGACCAGGACTCTTACAGTTGTAACAAGATGGAATTGCCTCCTCTTCCCTTTGGCATTGTTATCTATAATAGAGAGGGTGATGAGAATCCTGGGAGTGAGCTTTGACTAAGCAGTGCCTTAACAGAGGTAGAAGGAAGGGATTTTGGCGGGGCATGCTGGCTCATGCCTATAATCCCAGCCCTTTGAGAGACCGAGGCAGGCAGATCACAAGGTCAAGAGATCAAGATCATCCTGGCCAGTATGGTAAAACCCTGTCTCTACTAACAATAAATAAATAAATAAATAAATTAGCTAGGCATGGTGGTGCATGCCTGTAGCCCCAGCTACTCAGGAGGCTGAGGCAGGAGAATCGCTTGAACCTGGGAGGCAGAGGTTGCAGTGAGCTGAGATCGCACAACTGCACTCCTGCCTGGCGACAGAGCAAGACTCTGTCTTAAAAAAAAAGAAGGAAAAGATTTCTTCCTACAAACCTATGTACTCTCAATTCACCCCAACTCCACACACACTGCGATGTGACAGAAGAAGGAGAAATGAATTTCAGAGATTGAATTGGGAATTGGAAATTCTAAACATCTGTATGTTGGTAGCAGCAAGGAGGAATGAAAGCCGAGAGAAAGAGAAAATATCAGCAGAGCAGGGGACTAATATGTCAACAGCAGAGCTATTTAAGACACACTGCCTGTCAAACAGAAAACCCAAGCTGAGGCCGTCAAATCATAATTACATAAATGCCCTTATATTTTCTAAGAAAAGTGTTTTAAAACTTAAATAATGAAATCCGGATGTGGAATTTTCTGTGGGTAACTCCACTTTGTGTATGTCAACTGTATAATCTGTTAAATGTTAGGAGGCCTCGGAGTACAGGGAAGTGGAGGAGAAGCCAGACTGCCCGAAGCTATGCTCCTCTCTGGAGCTCAGATCTAACGGTCCTCTGTTTTATTCATTTTCCTCTCACTATTTTCCTGTCTGCAAGGTATGTAGATGCATGGAAGCTGGGTCTGCCTCCGGGCCCCGAGAAAGCATGGAAGCAATGATTGTAGGGGTCATGTGGGAAGAGAGGGGAGCAGTGTCCAAACAGCCACCCCTCAGCCCTAAAATGAGCCTTCCCTGGGCCATCGGGGTGTAGCCTAAGGAGGAAGAGACAGTCAGAAAGAAAAAGGGCTGACCTTGATAGAACTGTCACCTATTATTTTAAAAATCTGTGATCGGTGAGCTCTGTCAGCCCTTACTAAAATAAACAAATAGATGACCCCAGATGCATATTTTATCTTTCATTGTCTTCCACAAGTATAGTTTTAACTATGCTTTTGAAACCAGAAAACTATTAGCAAAAAAAAAAAAAAAAAGAAAAGGTAATAACATCTGGAATTAAAACGTCTTGAATAAAGATTTGACAAATATATCCCTGGACTTTTTTTTTTTTTTTTTTTTTTCCTGAGATGAAGCCTTGTTCTGCCTCCCATTCCGGAGTGCAGTGGCACGATCTAGGCTCACTGCAACCTCCAACTCCCGGGTCCAAGCAATTCTCTGCCTCAACCTCCCAAGTAGCTGGGATTACAGGTGCTCACCACCACGCCCAGCTAATTTTGTATTTTTAGTAGAGATGGGTTTCACCATGTTGACCAGGCTTGTCTCAATCTCCTGACCTCAGGTGATCCACCCGCCTTGGCCTCCCAAAGTGCTGGGATTATAGGCATGAGCCACCACACACGACCCATCACTGGACTCTTAATAGCATTTCTTTTAACTCATTCTCTCTGAAATAAAATCAAATATTTCATTAATAAGAGTGAAACAAAAAATGACCCACAAAAAATAAAGATGGATTTTTTTTTTTTTTGAGACAGAGTCTCACTCTGTCACTAGGCACCAGGCAGGAGTGCAGTGGCATGATCTAGGCTCACTGCAACCTCTCCCTCCCGGGTTCAAGCAATTCTCCTGCCTCAGGCTCCCAAGTAGCTGGGACTATAGGTGCTCACCACCACGCCCAGCTAATTTTTGTATTTTAGCAGAGATGGGGTTTCACCATGTTGGCCAGGATGGTCTCGATCTCTTGACCTTGTGATTCGCCAGCCTCCCAAAGTGCTGGGATTACAGACGTGAGCCACCGTGCCCGGCCGAGTTTTTTTTTTTTTTTTTTAAATTGTGACAAGATCTCCCTCTGTCGCCCAGGCTGGAGTACAGCGGCACGAAATCGGCTCATTGCAAACTCTACCTCCTGAGTTCAAGCGATTCTCGTGCCTCAGCTGCCCTAGTAGGTGGAATTACAGGCGCGCGCCGCCACTCCTGGCTAAGTTTTGTATTTTTAGTGAAGACGGAGTTTCACCACGTTGGCGATGCTGGTCTCGAACTCCTGGCCTCATGTGATCTGCCCGCCTCGGCCTCCCAAAGTGCTGGGATTACAGGTGTAAGCCACCTCGCCGGGCTAAAGGTAGCTTATTTAAAACTAGAAGGGAATTAATTCAGTTCCTAATTGAACCCTAGGTTTTAACAATAAACATCTGAATTTTGTTCAAGTTTTCTTCGGAGTACATTATGAGACAGCTCTCTCACAATGAAACATGACCACGCCAGAAAAAAAAAAAATGTTACCTTCTTTACGGGCTTCCTTTTCCTTGTTTAACTTTGGTAGCATAGTGAGAAACAACTGAAAGGGAAAAATGCTAAAACAACCAGCTCCAGTGATTTTTTTAAAAAAATCTAAGCCAACAATTTTTTGGAGCCTGCGGGAGTGAGGGGAGTGTTGAAAGGGCCTCACTGAGCTAGGTCGAGCCGACAGTGAAGCTTCAAAATTGCCAGCAGGCAGAGTCCACTCTGGAGAGGCAAATGAATAGGCTTAAGTGAAGTCCCTTGCCCTGCAAAAACCGAGGCAGGTGTTCGGGGATGGATTTTTTGGATAGGATGGAGACCGGGACGGATGAAGTCTTCTCTGGTTAGAGAGGAAATTTGGTATTAAGAGAGCCTGACTGAATTCCAATAATAACCAAACAACTGCTGTTGTCCAGGGCACAGGCTGGAAAGTGGGAGGCAGGAAGCAGAAAGGCTCAAGCTCCTTTCCCTGAGTCGGTTCAGGAATTTAATTTCAGCAAATGTTGATTGGGGCACGGTGTTAAGCTCAGGGATATCAAGCTGAATAAAACGTGGTCTTGTCCTTGAAGAGCTTACAGTTTAGTGAAACGGCTTTAACATTCCTCGTGGGCTTTGATAACTTTTATCCTGGGAGTTGTCAGGGGAGAGCTGCATCTAAATCCATTCACACTTTGCTAAAGATTTCAAAACAGAGGAAACAAGATACGGGACGACGAGGGTGGAGGAGAGAAGACCGCAGGGGCCGGTGCCAGACTTGGAAGCCGCCAACGCTGGGCTGGTGCCGCATGCTGGCAAGGGGCAGCCAAGACCGTGCCCCGCGCGGGCACCCTCGGGCTCGGCCCCTGCAGCTGGCAGCAAGTGCCTCGCGGGCGGACCGCGGAGGGTCGGGCGGGGGCCCAGCGGAGGTCCGGAGGAGCCTGCGCGGCCGGCGCCCGCCCCCAGGGGGCAGAGTTCCCGGACTCGTGCCTGTGCCGCTACCTGGGGCTCAGGCCCCACCACTTCCCGCAGCGGTCCGCACCTTCCCTTTCTCCGTCCTCTGCGCCGGCTGGGGCTCGACTGAGCTCCAGATTTCCCCGCCCGCGGCCGCCGCCTGGGGACGGGAGCCGAGGCGCGGCAGGACACCCGCGGTGGGGGGCGAGGTGGGGAGGTGAAGGCGGTCCGCGCGCGGGGGCGGGAGGAGGCTGGGGGATTCGGGGGACGCGGCAGCCCCGCCCCCGCCCCCTCCTCTCCTCCGCTCCTAGCCCGAGAAGCTGGCGAGCATGGACCAGACCCCGCGGCACTGGCACCATGACGCTCGCCCGCTTCGCGCTGGCCCTGGTGTTCGGGGCGCTCCCCGAAGTGGTCTGCTTTGAGTCTGTCCTCAATGATTCCCTCCACCACCGCCACCGCCATTCGCCCCCTCCGGGTCCGCAGTACCCTCGTTACCTTCCCACGGAGCAGCGGCCCCGGAGGACGCGCCCGCCGCCGCCTCTCCCGCGCTTCCCGCGCCCCCCGCGGGCGCTCCCTGCCCTGCGCCCGCACGCCCTCCAGGCCGGGCACACGCCCGGGCCGCACCCCCGGGGCTGCCCCGCCGGCGAGCCGTGGGTCAGCGTGACGGACTTCGGCGCCCTGTGTCTGCGGTGGGCGGAGGTGCCACCCTCCCTGGAGCGGTCGTCCCCGGCGGGCTGGGCTCAGCTGCGAGGGCAGCGCCACAACTTTTGTCGGAGCCCCGACGGCGCGGGCAGACCCTGGTGCTTCTACGGAGACGCCCGCGGCAAGGTGGACTGGGGCTACTGCGACTGCAGACACGGTGAGTGGCCTCGGGGCGGCCGCGGCAACTTCGAACGGGCCCGGAGCCAGAGGCTTGGGGCCGGCGTACAGGTCTCTTGGAGAGAGTGACGGGGTGTGCGGTTGTGGGTTTGCTTTGTGGAGTGTGATGGTGGGCTGCAGCTGGGTTACCAGTAAGGTGTACTGGTGCTGCAAATCTAAGCCAGCCAGGTGTGCTTGTGTGAAGGTTGTCAAGGGTGACAGTTTCCATGCCAGGTGGTGAGAGCTGGGTTTCTGGATCTGCTCTGTCCTCTGGCTACTCGTGTGTGTGTGCGCGCGCGTTTGTGTGTGTGGTGTGTGTGTGTGTGTGTGTGTGTGTGTGTGTGTGCGCCCGCGCGCGCGCGCGCCCGCGCACGCACTCGTGTATTGAGTGACAGTATGCTTTGGGTGTCTGTTCTCTAGATTAGCTTACTTTGAGAGTGTTACCATATTTACATTAAAGAAGCATAGGAGCAGAGAAAGTTCCTAATTACTTGTTCTGGAAAGGGAAATGTTAAATCTAACCTGACAACCAAATATAACCTTCCCTCATTTCTTTAGACTCCGATTTGGAAAAATGTGGTAAAATTTTGGCCTTAATCTCACTGCTGACTTCTATTTTTAAATGTATGGCAAAATTATGTGGCCCAAATCAGCCGTATTTACATGTTTAAACTCAGTATGGTAAATATCATTAGTGACTGGAAAAAAAGGGAAAGGAGACAGGGATACTATCTTGGTGAAGTAGCAACTCCATATAGTCATACACAGCTTTCAAGAGCCATTACTTAGCTTTATGTGTTATGTGTGGAAAATCAGGATTAGTAGGTAACATCAGGAGATAAAGGTGGCAAAATGTTTTAGGTCTGTGGTAATAAAAGCATCACAGTCATAAGTTTAATGTAAATGAATAATCCAGCTTTGAACATTGCTTCATTTTGAATTGTTGGGATTTTGTTGAAGTTAGTTTTTTTTTTTTTCTTTAAAAACTGGGGAAGAAAAACTTAATATCCTCCAAAGTTTGAATTTCTTTTCAACAGAATATTTTTGGCAGCTTTCCATTCACACTGTGGGGCAAGGGTTTCCTGAATTGAGATCCTGGATCATGTTGTACTTCGTACTGTTTGGAGGTAACTTGGAAGTTAGCTGTCACAATGCCATTCATTTCCTGGAGAAATTTTATTTATCAGTGCCTTCCATTGCATTAGTGCTTTGAGTTAAGAAAAAGTGATAGGAAGGTTAAGATCAATTATCCTTCATCCTCGGGAATGAAGTCATCGCTTTACTTGTGTTTCATGAACAGAATGCCAATGTGGCTATAAAAGATTTGAAGTGATGTCAAACAAAGAGTGCTAGTATTGTCCCATTATTCGCTATAAGAGATTATTTATAGTAAAATCTTACATTTCTCAAGCGCTGACTTTTTCATCTGCATATTATTCTTAGTTTTTTAAATAGATCAGAGTGGAGAATTATTAGAGAATCAATGTGTAGGCGAGAATATACAACTTCGCTTTAGGTACCTAAGCACAGACTCAAGAAAAGGAATTTAAAGTTAAAAAATGATAGTGATCTATTGCTCTTTCTGATACAACACTTCCAGCTTTATATTTCAAACATGAAGAGTAACTTGTCCTTGGATTTCCTGCCACTTCTCCCCCTTTAGACAAATAGAAATGTAAATCTTTTCAATGCCTTTATGTTCCTTGCTAACTCTCACTAGACAAAACCCCAAATACTGCATAATAGTTGTTTGTACTTCCTGGAGTAAAGTGATAGAACAAAAGAGAAACAAAAGAAACCACTCAAGATGGGAGATAAATGCCCTCTCTACCACCTCAAAAAAAAAAAAATAGGAAAATAATCAGCTGTGTAAGAGTTGAATTACTTTCAGACTCAATCTCATTCTATCATTTACTCCTCCAGGTCTGCTTAGGCATAACCCATAGATGACTGGCATATTCTGAACCTTATGCCTCTCCTGGTCCTACATTTCAATTAGGGGTATGAACGAAAGTATCATGGAGTGGTATAAAAAATATTGACTTATGCTTTAGAAAACGCTGGTGTCTGCTTTGGCTCTGCCAGTAGCTGTGCATTGTTGGGTAAGGCTCTTAACTCTTAGTGCTTTGGTCTCCTCACGAGAAAAGCAGGTTTTGAGTAAATTAATTTAAAAGAACTTTACAGCGCTGAGCATGTATGCAAAGTACCCTGGCCTGATCATATCAGTTAGGACTTAGGCACATTCCTTCTGTGTTAGGTGCTAGACTAAACATTGTATGTGCATTTTCTCATTTCATTCTTTTTTTTTTTTTTTTTTTTTTTTTTTTTTTCAGATAGAGCTCCCTCTGTCACCCAGGCTGGAGTGCAGTGGTACAATCTCAGCTCACTGCAACCTCTGCCTCCCTGCTTCAAGCGATTCTCCTGCCTCAGTCTCTTGAGTAGCTGGCATTACAGGCATCTGCCACCACGCCCAGCTAATTTTTGTATTTTTAGTAGAGATGGGGTTTTACCATGTTAGCCAGGCTGGTCTTGAACTTCTGACCTCAGGTAATCCACCCACCTCCGCCTTCCAACGTGCTGGGATTACAGGTGTGAGCCACTGTGCCCAGCCTCATTTCATTCTTGTAGCAATCTTATGAGTGAGTTCCTGCATTTTACTGATGAATATACCTAAAGATATATTATGAGGAGTGCAGGAGAAAATAGGGTTAGATATGTATATTTGTACTTCACAGCTCATTTTGCTGTATTTCTTTACTTATATGTGCATGTAGAAATATCTGTGCTGTCTAGTAATCCTCATTTTGTAGTTTATGGACTAGTTTAACAGGAAGAAAGGGGATTTTGTTTGGTCCAGTGCACATGATTTACAGTCTCTTATGCTTAAAAAACATCCAGTGTCTTGTCTTGTCTTGTCTTGTCTTTTCTTTTCACTTTTCTTTTCTCTTCTCTTCTCTTCTTTTCTTTTCTTGAGATGGGGTCTCTCTCTGTCATCTGGGCTGGAGTGCAGTGGTGCAATCTTGGCACACTGCAACCTCTGCCTCCTGGGTTCAAATGATTCTCCTGCCTCAGCCTGCCAAGTAGCTGGGATTATAGGCATGCACCACCATGCTTGGCTAACTTTTTTGTATTTTTAGTAGAGATGGGGTTTTGCCATGTTGGCCAGGCTGATCTTGAACTCCTGACCTCAAGTGATCCGCCCACGTCAGCCTCCCAAAGTGCTGGGATTACAGGTGTGAGCTACCTTGCCTGGCATATTATTTTCTTTACAGAAATCCCAGGGCTAGAAAAAGAGAACAATGTATAGTAATGTGATCCCTCCTTTAAAAAATTAACTGGTGGCCAGAGTCACATATGTAGTTGCGTCAAGAAAAATGAGGAAGTTGGTGTCTCCGTGGTGAAGAGTTGATTGAAGCCAAGTTGAAGGGGCAGGGTGGGGACCTCAGGTGAGCCAGGGCTGGGCGTGGGTGTTCCAGTGGCTCAGATGTCAGAGAGCAGGAAACATGACACCAGGACCCTTGTTTTATGAACCTTGCAAATTAATACTAAAGAATCATTTTGGGTATGGGAATACCCTGAATCAGCCCAGGAAGCTAGTCTCATTATGAGCATTTAGAATCACCTAGGGACTTGTTAAAATGCAGATTCCTAGACTATAGCCGAGGAGGCTCTGAGTAATTCTCAGATCTGGCCCAGGAGTGGCACATGCCATTTATATTGAGCAGTCAAAGTGATTTGGATGCTGAAAACTCTGTCACAGTCAGGCAGAACACATGGAAGGGCATTAGAACCCACCTAAAAAGCACAATGGTAGGTGAAGGTACAGACTAGCTGAGCCCACCAGTCTGTGACTCAGCCCTGTTAGGCCGTAGGTGTAGGGTATGCCAATGGAACTTTTTGTGTGGTTTTAGAAATGGCACCTCTGGTTTTTCCTTTGACCACTGTAGGATAATAATAAACTAGTTCACTGGAATATGGTTATTTTATTTTTATTTTTTGAGAAAAAGTGCAGTGGTGTCATCTCAGCTCACTGCAACCTCTGCCTCCCGGGATCAAGCAATTCTCTCACCTCAGCCTCTGAAGTAGCTGGAACTACAGCTACTTTTTTTCTTTTTCTTTTGTATTGTTTGTAGAGATGGAGTTTTGCCATGTTGCATAGGCTGTTCTTGAACTCCTGGGCTCAAGTGATCCTTCGGCCTTGGCTTTCCAGAATACTGGAATTAGGGGTGTGAGCTACCATGGCCGGCTAGAGTATGGTTATTAACTGAATGTAAGCCAGGTTATTTTCACATTTCTACAGGAAGAATTAACAGGCATCTGATTCCCTCTAACAATAGTTTGTGACCCAACATGGTGGCTCATGCCTGAAATCCCAGCACTTTAGGAGGCTGAGGTAGGAGGATCACTTGAGGCCAGGAGATAGAGGCTGCAGTGAGCTATAGTCATGATGATATTGCACCCCAGTTTGGGCAACAGAGAGAGATCCTGTCTCTAAAACAAAAACAAAACAACACAATAGCTTGCAATAAACTAGTGTTTCCTGCCTGGGAGGGGTAGTCACTTTTCTAGTCTTTGGCAACTTGCTTGACATTGTGCTGAGAACCTCTGTTTTTACAAGCAACCATAGATGGCTAATGATTGAGAGGTATAACAGATTAAATAAAGGAGACAGTTCTGATCATTGAGATTTCAGAGGAGAGGATAAGTCATAGATCTGACTTTCTGTCATGTCATGTTCATCTTTTCATGTGCACCTACCCACCCCAAATCCCTTGATTTAAATAGAGATAGAGGACATGTGGGCCAAGTACTATTGTTTACAGGCTGTACTCATTGAAGTCCATCTGTTGTTTATAGTGAATGTTAATTAAAAAGTTAGCTGAAAGCTGTTCCTCGCCCATTTTAAGTGCTTCATCTTGGTTCTATGTAGCAGGTGCTGAAAAACATGTATTAGCAATACCAGATTTGCCACATTTCCTGGTTGATTTTAAATATTGAGCT